ATGTGTGTGTGTGGGGGGGTGTACAGGGACAGTGATGGCATGCTTGGACTTGTAGTTCCTTAGCTGATATATATGTGTGGGGGTGGGGGGTACAGTTCTAGTGGATGTTTATATAATATGGGGGGGGCGAAAAAAATGTTCTGCCCCGGGCGCCCATAACTCTGGTTACGCCACTGCCTGCTTCTTCCAATCTGTCCATTAAACCGGCTGGTGACCATGTGTGATGCCTGCAGCCAGCTCTGTCACAGCTTCCCTATGCATGCCTCAGCCGTACATCCCCGGCTTTACAAAAAGCAACTCACAGGAGTGCGGCGCTGTGCAGGAGTCCATTTCCTGGTCTCCCACGTGGCCCTTAGATAGTCGGCACTGTGCAGGAGTGTCATGCCCCGTCACTCTCATGGCCGTGCTTGGTGTCTCTAGCCCATTGTTGGAGGTGCTTCTGTGAGGTCCCCGTTTAGCTGCTCGGCAGGCTGCCCAGAGGACCCCAACAAACGTGCTACTCCTGGGCAGCATGAAGCTATCTAAAAAATTAAAGTGCTGGTATCGGCGCTATGTTTTGGGGCCTTTTCACAAGCGCAAGTACTTGTGAAAATGCCCTGTATAGGTCCCAATATTGATTCTAGTATCGGCATTGGGACATCCCTAGTCCCAAGCGGTTCCCCATGGCCTGAAGTAAAGAGGTAGAGCATATGGGAATGAGTAACATTGCATTGGGGCTTGAGAATTGCACTTATGCAGCTGTTCTGGTACTAAAACAAGTGCTGCTCGTGGGCTCTGTCCATGGATCGTTGAGGTGTAAACTTAGAAAAGAGTCCTCTGGGACAATGCTTTATCTCCTTGTTGGAGGACAGTAGCTGGGTCGTGGTGTTTTTGGCCTGCATATTGTTGTTTTAGTAACCTGCTGTCCTTGTCAACTATTGGCATATGTCTCATAACCTCAAAGTAGTTGCGAGAAGTGTCCTGTTACATTCAAACTAAACACCATGATTATCTTCCAAGCCTTCCTTCCCAAATAAGCAATTTGTATAGCTTTCAGCAAAGTTCTGTTTAACTTTTCCATGAGTTTTGGATATTTATGAGAAGCAAACATGCCTTCCAAAGCAATTATCATAGCTCATGTGATTGTTGCCTTTGTGAGGATCACTTTATCCTGCCACCATAAGTAACCATTTACAGTTGGCTGGATCACAATATTGCATGCAGCCAAAAGATACTAGCACCAGGATCCCAGACATGTATTTATTTATTTATTTAATATTTAACCTTGGTAGACCTGAATGTTGTGTTCACTTTTATCACCAAAAGTTAGCATCGGCAATAATGGCAACAACTGATTTAAAATGGCGATCTCTGTCCGAGCCATATGTACTGTATGTCCCATTGTCCAAAATTATTATTATTATACAGGATTTATATAGCGCCAACAGTTTGTGCAGCGCTTTACAATATAAGGAAGACATTGCAATCACATTCAAGACAAGATGGTAAGGAGGGCCCTGCCCCTGAGGGCTTACAATTTAAACGTGAGGTGGAAGTGATACATGAGGAGGTAGCTGTGTGGGGATGAATTGTTTGATAACGTGATGTTTCAGTGGTTAGGTTGAGGTGGGATAGGCTTCCCTGAAGAGATGATTCTTCAGGGAACGCCTAAAAGCCATCAAGGTGGGAGATAGATGGACAGGTTGGGGTAAAGAGTTCCAGAGGATGGGAGAGACTCTAGAGAAGTTCTGTAGGCGAGTATGGGAGGAGTTGACAAGGGAGCTGGAAAGCAGGAGGTCTTGGGAGGAGCGGAGGGGACGGTTAGGGTGATATTTTGAGACAAGGTTTGAGATATATCCGGGGGCAGAGTTGTGGATGGCTTTGTAAGTGATTGCACTTATATTACATAGATTATATATTTCATTTTTGTGTCGTTAGCTCTCAAAGCAATATGGCCCTGTGTTCAGTATCCAGATGGGCGGCGTAAAAATGGTCGTATTATCTGGCTATGAAACTGTCAAGATGGCCCTTATCGATTATGCTGATGAGTTTGCTGAGAGGCCCCACATACCGATGTTTGAAGACATTAACAAAGGATTTGGTATGTTTACAGAACATTAACCCTTTTATCACTTGGATGTGCAAAAATGACATTTTAGGAAGAATGGGACACTTACAGTATGTATGAGTTGGTATGTAGGATTGTATTTACACATACGTCCGATTAAAGGAGAACTATGGGGCAGGGGCATCCCGAGGCTGGGTGACACCCGGAGCGGTAACCCAGTGTCACCCCGCAGAGACGTCACTGTGCATGCGCGTGACGTCACCACGTGCGTGCGCGATGGCGTCATCACGCACGCGCGGCAGTATTCGGATACCTGCCGGCGACCATCTTGGTAATGACACCCCTCCAATGGTGTCACCCGGGTGCGGGCCGCACCCCCCTTGTGACGCCACTGCTATGGGGTCAGTGTTTTTCCCCATAGTTCTCCTCAGGGTCACAGGAGGACACAAACTAGCTTCCTCCTGTGACCTAAAGCTCAGTATACCGCGAGCTACAGCTTGCGGTATACTGAGACCGACGCAGCCGGGAAGGATCGCGACATTACTGTCGAGATCCACCCAGCTGCGTGAGTGACAGCAGGCTCTGCCTATCTAGAGGCAGAGCCACCTGTACCCGCCCCCTCCCCCATCCGTTACGCCAGTCAGCGCTGGAGGATTGGACAGGGAAGGGGGGAATTCCTGCAGGGAGCCGTGAGTGACAATGACAATCACGATCTCTGCAGGGACATGATCGGGAAGTCAGCGAGCGCCCGTATGTGTTCCCTCACTTCCTGATCTGTACAGTTGACGTGTGACAGTTTCATTGCCACACGTCGGCTCAAACTGTGAGGTTGAGTGAAAATCACTTACCTTATAGTTCTCCTTTAGGTACGATGGGCCATATATTTTATTATCATGCAGAACGCAGCTGAAATAGTTCCAGATGAATGTTTCCATACAGTGCATAAATATGATGAGGGAACACAACTATTGCAGCCTGTCATCCTACTTTTCAGTAGCACCAAAGAGTCCTTAACCACTTGCTGTCCAATCATTTTCTTAATATTTGCGCACACATGATAAAATATACATTTTTGGCTAGAAAACAGCTTCAGACCCCCAAACAATTATATATTTTCTGCAAGCAGAGGTCCTGTAGAAAAAAAAATGCTAGTTGCAATTTTTTACATTGCACGGTTTTTGCACAATTGTTTATCAAACCAGTATTTATAGGAAAAAATAAACGAAATTAAAATTTATTGCACAGAAACAGAATATAATACCCAATTTTTGGATACAATATGAAAGACGGGGTCACGTCGGGTAAATAGATACCAAACATGTCAAGTCTTAAAATTGCGTTCGCCCGTGAAGCCGCAAAAAAAGTAAATACCCAAATTTTCCCATAGGGAACACTTTAAATGTTTTTACCGCTAATCAGTTTAGTGCTAAAAGTGATTGATGGGTCTAGAATTATTGCTCTCACTCCAACGTTTGCGGTGATATGTAGCATGTGTAGCGCAATTGTCGTTTTCACACGTAGGCGCACCCGCGTGTGTTTATGTGCATGCACGTGGGGGGCAAGGGACTTAAAACACATTTAAAAAAAAAAATTATATGTTACTTTCATTTTTAGAATTTTTTTTTTTTTTACACCAACCCTATTGCTCTCACATAGGGAGCTGACAAGCACCCTATCTAATAGCAGATCGTTTGTGTTTATGTGCATGCACGTGGGGGGCAAGGGACTTAAAACACATTTTAAAAAAAAAATGATATGTTACTTTCATTTTTAGAATTTTTTTTTTTTTTACACTAACCCTATTGCTCTCACATAGGGAGCTGACAAGCACCCTATCTAATAGCAGATCGTGTGACAATTTTGATTCGTATAAAAATTCATATGAATGTTCCCGAAAAACGGGCGCATCCGAATTTCTGAATCCCAATGCATCCGAATGTGTCCGAATCTGAAGTGCCGTTTCCGACTTTTGGATCCTGTCCAAATTTTGTTCAAAAACTAAACTGAATCGGACATGTAACTTTTCTGGCCAATCAGATGTGTTTTTCGGTTTGATGCATCCGAATGGCAACATGGGAGCCATATATAGTATAAACATATAATACTAAAGCTGAGGCTCCTAGACCCGGGATCCAAATTTCCGAATTGCATTCGGGAGCTCCCAAATGCCATTCGGGTCCGGGAGCCATATACACATATTACTAAAGCTGAGGCTCCCAGACCCGAATGGCATTTCCAGAGCTCCTGAATACAATTCGAAGATTCGGCTGCCGAATGCCATTTGGGTCTAGGAGATTCAGCTTTAGTATTAATATCTGTATATGGTTTTCTGTGGTAGTCGTAATGAATATTAGTTCGTAAACTTATCCGAAACAAACGAAAGTTCGGATTTCGTCCGAATCCAAAAACCCGAATTGAATTTCGGACCCGAATCCCGAAAAAACAAAATACCCGAACAGAACCAAATTTTTTCGCAGCTTACATGTCTATCAAAATCCTTAAAGATATTTGGTATAGTCAGCTTGTGAAATATTGCTATGAATATTTTAGAATTACATCTCAAACTAGAAGGTGGAGCTCCAGGTTTCTCTCCAAATATTTACCTGTCTGTTACTAGTTGCTCCATTGTTTACACAGCTCAAACTCAAATTTACCATTGCAACTAGACATGTGCACTGCCAAAAAATTTGTTTCGTTTTGTTTCATTTTAAATTCGGATTTGTGTTATTTCGTTTTTCGGGATTCGGGTGTGAAAGTCAATTCGGATTCGGAATTCGGATTCGGACGAAATTCGGTAGCGGTAGTTCGTTCGCACGTTCGTTTCGTTTTCGTTTCTTTTTCGTTTCGTTCATTCGTTCGTTTGCAGCAAAGTGACATTTGAGGGGGAAAAATGTTTTTCTCCACTAATGTTACTTTGCTCCAACGAACGAAACGAATAAGAAACGAACACGAGACGAACGTTCGAACGAACTACCGCTACCGAATTTCGGAAACGGACATTCGGATTCGTTTGCATTCATTATATCTGTAATTCGGAATTCGGATACATCCGAATGTCCAAATTTCCGAAAATTCGTCCGAATTTCGATGCGGAACGAAACGAATCGCACATGTCAAATTGCAACTCAAGTGACTCATAAGCGTGACTCACCCTTCACAATGCCTACTCTGTACAGGGCTATATAGAGTTTCAATCAGAGAGTGGTGGTCTAAAAGCTTCTTTGGTGCTCAGTCCTTACATACAACAGTACTTTTCTCTGTATCCTGTGTCATGAGTGCAGCTGGTATTACATTTTTAAAATAAATAGTACAAAACAAAATAGATAAGGACACATCTAGTACATAATTATAAGCAGCTCCTCTGGTAGGTGACACCACCCCTGCACTGGTCAGCCGAAGAGTAACGGTCCAGGGCACAGTTACAGAAAAATACATTGGACACAGGCAGTGCAAGCCATAAGCATCCAACAACAATGTCACCAACCTCAAACAAAGCTTCCTCATCACCCTCATTTGGAGGGAGAATTTCTCTCTTTTAACCAAATCCCTCTGTCCTTCTTTCCTCCAGCATTCTTTTTTTGGTCTGATGTACACATAACTGAAATCACTTATGACAATTCAGTTATCTTAGCTTGCTTTCCAGTGTAAGTTCAGGTCACAAAGTCTGACATTTATAAATATGAAGGTCATTATGACATAAATTTGGCTTCCAAATTGGCATCATTTTTCGCTCCATTTTTAAGCTCTATAAATTCATTTACTGTATTAAAAGTCTTAATTCCACACAAAAACTAAAGGTTAGGCCTCTGCCAGGGTCACGTTTACCAAGGAGGTGGTGACCACCTACTTTCTAAAATCTAGAAGGAACCTTGTTTTAGAGACAACTGTATCATAACATAACTGAGCAAATGGGCGTTTATGTGGTCCAGTTCACCACTTACTAGTGAAAATATGGTATGAGTAGAATCGAACACATTATTGAAAATCTAGCCTGGACTGAATGTGTTTGACTAATACACTCTGGACACAGATTTGAAGGACAGATTCATTCTCTATTTTGTGCAGGTGTCCCATTCAGTCACGGTGAGAATTGGAAAACCATGAGAAGGTTCACTCTCAGCAAATTACGGGACTTTGGCATGGGCAGGACGACTATAGAAGATCGGATTGTTGAAGAGTGTGGATTTATTGTGAGGGCGCTTGAATCGTTAGAAGGTAAACATTGAGGGCTGTGTCTCCATCACTGTTTAAAAAAAAATTATGCATACATGCAAAAATTACAAAATGTTATAGAAGACGTTCATACTAAGCCAGTTGTTTAAAACTAAAGGGTTAAAAAACAGTCAGAGTCAGAGGATAATAAGGCCTGATAAACTCCAAACAAAATAAGGTCTGATGAACCACTCCAACATTTACAACTCAGCTTCAGACATGAAGGATCATAACTTCAAATTACAACCGCTCAAGCTAGATCAAGGAAATCAGTAACATAAACAGGACCTAAAACCTGTAAAAACCTGTTAATGGGATCACATCATAAATGCAGCAATAGTCCAGAGACTTTTAATATATGTCCTATAGTACAATCATCATTAAAATATTCCAGTTTACATCACTCCATTAGCAGGATATCTCTGAAGCCAAGCCGTTAATAGCCATTCCTGGTCATATCCATGGCAGCGCTGACAAATGGGTTTTCATCCCCTACCCCTAGTTGACAGGAACAATAAAGGGTTAACATGCAGTACCCTAGCCTATATAAGCCCCTCCTCTACCTGAGTTTCCCAGTCTTTTTTGTTCCTGTCCCCCTAGGACAGGTTGCTATCTGTTCTGTTCGGAATGGTTTATTGTTTTCTTAGGTGAGTTGATCCTTGTAGCCCCTGGGGAGTTCAGCCTCTCTCCCCTGGGAAGGCCTCAGAACTCGGCCCCGAGCAAGGGTGTCCCTCTGTAGGCAGCAGGCTGTGGGGCGTATGGAAGCCAGGGCTGGGGGTGACTAGCCGGGTCTTATTCTCCCCCCTGGCAGGAGCATCGGGTTGGCCGCTTGGAGCGGCGTTTAGTACCTGCAGTCTGCGGGCTCTCCTCCGGTACCGTGTAGCTGGAGCATCGGGTTGGCCGCTTGGAGCGGCGTTTAGTACCTGCAGTCTGCGGGCTCTCCTCCGGTTCCGTGTAGCGGCGGCAGCGGTGTGAGGGCAATGCTGTGTGGGCACTCGCGGCTTCGGACGGACATCGCGCATGCGCGGAGGATCTGCGTGACGCGTTTGGTGACGTCACACGGGGCCGGGAGATGGCGCCAAATTCAAAAAAAAAAGTTTTCTTTATTTAAGTCAGCTCTGTGGTGTTCCATCAGTCTGGTGCCAGAATGGATGTCAGGAGCGACCTCTCACCACGCGGATCCAGATCAGTGGAGCTGAGGTAAAGCATATTCACTTATGTTGGAAAAAAAATAAAAAAAAATAAAAAAGAGTGCGTTTTCTAATCGGGTTTTTTTGTTCATATTCAGCCCTGTGGAGATGGAGTCCTCTGCTTCCTCTGGGAAGAGGAAGGCAAAGTCAGCCAGATGTCAAGCTTGTGACACCAAGGCCATGATGGGAAAGAAGCTTTGTGAGGACTGCTTTAAGGAGGCGGCAGGCGCCTCAAAATCTTCCACTGACATCTTGGAGCTGATACAGCAGGCAGTGGCGAAAGGCGTAAGGCAGGCTGGCAGTTCCCGTAAGAGGCAGAGAACAGTGAGTTCTCGGCGGGATTCCTCAATGGACTCGGAGGAGGCCGGATCGATGTCAGAGGGTGAATATTCCTCTTCGGAGCGGGGAGAGTCACCGGCCGACCTTTCCCTTGAACCTAAGAAGGTGGATGCACTGATCGCTTTGGTGCGCAAAACATTGGGCATGAGGGAGCAGGAAGAGGTCTTGTCCCCCTCCAGCAAGCACTTTGCAGGTCAAAGACGACACAGACCATGCTTTCCGGTGAGCAAGATCACTAAAAAGCTCATTCAGGAAGAATGGGACAAGTCTGAGAAAAGAATGGGATCAAAAGGCAGATTCTCGCGGCTCTATCCCATCAGCAGTAAGGATTCAGGAACTTGGGATTCAGC